CCCAGCCCGTCTACACCTACTCCCTGCGGCTCTGCAGCTACCGGAACACGGCGGAGGTGCCGATGGTGCTGGTGGGCACGCAGGGTGAGAGCGGCGCCGCGACCCCCACGCCCGCGAGAGCTGCGGGTCCCAGCCCCTCAGCCAAACACTGGGCAGTTACCCCGGGGGTCCCAGCCCAGGGCCATGTGGGAGACAAATCACAGAATCATCCTGGTAGGAAGGGACTTTGAAGATCATCAAGTCCAACCATAACCTAAATCCCCTACCATGACCTGATTTACCTGTTCAGTGCTGAAATCACGTCCCTCAGCACCACATCTGTATTTCTTTTGAACACTTCCAGGGATGGTGCCTACACCACCTCCCTGTTCCACTGTCCAACCACTCTTTGGGTAAAGAAATTCTTTCTAATATCCAGTCTAAACCTCCCTTCAGGCCATTTCCTCTCATCCTGTCATTGTTCACTTGAGAGAAGAGGCCACCACCTCCCTACACCCTCCTTTCAGGTAGTTGTGGAGAGCAATCGGGTCTCCCCTCAGCCTCCTCTTCTTCAAACTGAACAATCCCGGTTCCCTCAGGCTCTCCTCATAGGGCTTATTCTCCAGACGTTCACCAGCCTGCTCTTTTGTGTTGTCCTCCAAGGCGTCAGCTGTGAGTGCATCCTAGCAGACCTGGCCTTCCCAGTTATCTGAGGGTGGTTTCTCCTTTCTGACTTTGATCTGTAGGGTATGATCTGTAGGGTATGGCTGTGAGACCTAAACCCGTCCATCCTGGCAGGTCCCTTTGGTCCCTGCAGCTGAGGCCAACCTGCAGATGGGTGCACTGGCTGGTCACAGCAGCCATGACCAGTGCCAGTGGTTTCTGCTGCATGCAAACCCCAAGTGTCCTCACGCAGAGGGGGCTGTGGTTGGACCCGAGGTCAGGCTGTTACACCCCAGCACTCTCTGCTGTCACTGAGTGTCCTGTTGTCTTCAACAGGTGCACGGCTCACGACAGGGTTGTGTGAACTTGTGGTGTTGTGTCCTATTCCCAACATCCAAGCTGCCTTGCCTTGCCAGCCACACCTCCCACTGGTTTCTGCCCTTGGGCTTCAGAAGTGTCAGTGCCTGGATGGTTAGGAGACTTGAACAAGCTCATTTTAAAAACAGTTCATTTGAAAAGGTTAATTTAACCCATTTTTCAACAAACATGGGACTGCAATCCCAGGCATTTATAGTAGAAGGGTGTCCTGTGGAGGTGGTATCCCAGTGTGTGAAGGGAGGCAGGTCAGGACATGCCCTGGGACGTGTGGATAGCTGGGACACCGGGTGACTGTTTGACCTCCTCTCCTTTGGTTGCAGATGCCATCAGTGCCACCAACCCGCGGGTCATCGACGACTCCCGGGCACGGAAACTCTCCAACGACCTGAAGCGCTGCACGTACTACGAGACCTGTGCCACCTACGGCCTGAACGTGGAGAGGGTCTTCCAGGATGGTACCTGCAGGGGGGTGTCCGGGCAGGGTGGGCAGCAGTGCTGTCCCCAGCACTGAGGCAGCAGCCCTGGGAGGGGAGGGTCTGCTGAGCCAGATCAGCGCTTGGCAGAGCAAGTCTGGAGAGAAGAACAGGAGGGGGCTGTGGGCACAGCTGGTCCTGCCTTCTGCCAAGCTTTTGGCATGGTGTGTCACCACGTTTGTTCAGCTTGTTGCTTCAGATTGGCTGTGTTGTGTCCCTTCTTGGAAGGACAGTACAGTGAGGAACAGCAGCCAGTGGGTTTTGGAAGGGGCTGGGGCAGCCTCTGCAGGATTAGGTGCTTCTGTCTGTTGGGCTGCTTCTTGTCCTTTTTTATGCCAGGGTGGAAAAAATTATGCTTTGGGGTTATTTTTTTCTCTTTGTTGACCCTGGGAGCATGGACAATGCAACTTGGAGCAGTGGGATGAAAGCTCCATTTAAGACCCAGACCCAGCTTCTCACTCTGGTGCTGCTTTGCAATCCTGGTGGTAGATCCTGAGCTGCAGCTTGAAGGCTCAGGAGGGAGCACGTGCCAGGTGCTGAGCTCCATTGCTCTCTGGGCCTGGTCACCACCTGCAGACGTGGCTGGGAAGGAGGTGAGGGAGCAGGTTTGTGCTCGAGGTGAGCAGTGAGGCAGAGGAAATCCAGAAGACCCCAAGGAATGTGTAGATCAGAGACTGTTGGTACAAACTCAGTGTCAGTCTGGGCTAGTGCTGCAGGGACTGGGGGGCTCAGGCCACCCCCTGGGGGACTGATGCTGTCAGGAGGCTGGGGAGCACTGAGTGGAAGCCCAGAGGGATTCCTGCCTGCACTCAGGGCAGCAGAACTGCTGCTGGAGTGTTGTCAAACCTGGGTGTCAGCACCTCAAAAGGACGCAGAAAAACTGGGAAGATTAAAAAGAGCTACAGAAATTAATCAAAGGCTGTAAAATATGCCTGATAATGAGGCACTAAAAGCAATTGCCCACTGAATAAACCAAACAAAAGACTGGGGGTTGACTTGACTACAATGTAAGAGTATCTACATACCCATCTACATGGGTAGAAAATCAGATGCTCATTCTCTTCAGCCAGCAGAGAGTTCATGCTACAAGCCATGGCCAGAAAAATTGAAATTTTAAAGAATATTTTTTTATTACTAGCCCTCTTAGCATTAACTGTTGGAAAAAAAATGTGCAGGGAAGTGCTGCATCTGCATCCAAACCCTGGGCAGGTCTCTTTGTGGCAGAGGCTCTCCCCGTGCCCAGAGGACTGGTGCTAGTTCTGCTGGGTGGGGTTAATGGCTGGTGGTCTGCAAAGGTTGGTCTGGGAAGCAGAGGGACCCTGCTGGGGCTGCAGGAGCTGCCCGTGCGCTGCTGTTCCTGAGACACAAT